CTTGAAGTTGTGCTAGTTTCCTGGGCTTTTCTTTGAATGGGTGCCGAAACTCACAATCATGGCCTCTGTAGTCGCTTAATCTGCGGATTATTTTTCTTGGTGGACAGTTTGGTCTCCAAAAAGTGTTTCTAATGCCCATCAGAGATCGTGGTAATTAATTTATAATATGTCTTTGTCAATCCAACAGCCATAAACACGGAAATAGACTGGATACTTTAAATGGACGATGAAAAGCAACTTATCACAAATAAGCCCCTGTGGCCAATGAACAACAATGAATTGATCCAAAACTGCAATTAGTTTACATTAGATCAATCTATCAACTAATTACTGCAGCCATGATTGTAGTCTTGTGTGTTTTGATAGTTGGTTGGAAATGATGAAGCCTTCACCTTGGGCTTTAAGAAACTGTGAGGTCATTTCCATTTTTTAAAAACATTTAACAGATCATCTTTGAAAATCATGAACAGAATAATGATAAGCAACCAGAGCTGGTCAAATAGTTGATCTGCATGACAGCATCAGTCACTTTATTTCGATAATCATAATCGTCGGGAGGATTTACTGCCCGTCTTGTTTTATGCTGTACTTCACTAAATACCTGTAAGATTTAAACTCTAATTCAGATTTTAAAAAAAATACTATTCTTGAGAAATGATCCTAAATTGCAGCCATATTTTGAATGTAGAAATTCAAATAGAATAAAAATGGTTCCTATTTTTGTAATCTGAAAAGAGGCTCTGAGCCTGTCACCTCAGCAGCGCTCCCTCACAGAGGAGATGAGTATCTCACTGAAAGCCCACTCAGCATCTCCCTCAGATCTGTCCACGGGTGGGGTGGGAGTGCTGTAACCTTGGAAAAACAAGCCACCCACAGGAATGACTGTGTCATCACTGCCGTCATCCAATCTGGACCACACACAAACACACACACATACACACACACACACGTGTGGAGAGTAGGAGTGGAGTGCCAGATCATTGCTGGCCTGACTGGAGGAGGATGCAGGGCGGCCTGTGGGAACCAGATGGCCCCTCCAGCTCCTGCAGAGGACCAGGAGTGTGAGACTCCCACGACAGCACTTTATCTAAGTGCGTATGAAGACATTCATGAAGGTACCCCTATGTAAGTGTGTGTGAAGGGCTTAAACCTCGGCTCTACATTTGGGTAGGTTAATATATGAATGGAACAGATTCACTTTGAGCTCATTTGAAAACAGAATGTTTACTGTTGTTAAGGTAAGTGTGATTCATAAACCTCCAGCTCTCTTTACTTAAACCTGTTCTGATTATAAAAATATCAAAGACTCACTTTTAATATGATAGAAGGATAAGCCGCTGAAAGGAAAAGATAATGGATCATAAAATAAAGATGTGAAAACATCTCAAAGCAAAAAAACAACTTGGTTATATGAATGGAACAGACACAGGACATATTAAGTTTTAGTTTGCATCTTTGATTCTATGAATGAGTGTGCAAAGTGTCTCATTGATTAAACGGTTGTCAGATGTGTGAGCTTGTTGTACAAAAATGTAACTCATGCAACCCAAGGAATAAAGGGAACAAAAAGATGCCCTTCAAAGGTCTTTTGACACGAACAGAACCATAATTGTTACTGGCAACAGCTTCTACAGAAATGAGTCATAATGTCAATTGTACGAGAAGCCTATTTTAAGCTCCTCCATCAAATATCAGTTAGTGTGTTTGCAAATATAAAGCATTTTAAAAGGATCTAATCTCTTAAAACAATATTTTGACACTACCTGCGTCATGCTTGGCACTCTGAAACCTGCAGTACAGGGAAACCTGCCAGGCGCCAACTATTATTAGCATCCATTTCATGGGTTCTTATAGTGTCACAAAAAAAGTGTTAATCCTCTGTAAATAATACATTCTGAGAGGAATTGCCAAATTCATTATCATTTTCTGAACCCTTTATGTGGGGGCGGGCATGTTAGCAGTGGCACCAAAAAAAAAGAATCTGAACAAGCTGACTGTCAAAGGGAACGAGGAGCCCAAGAGTGTACAACAAAAAGAATGCAGAAAATACACTGATTCACAGCATGCGTTTGAGAAGTTGAAGGTATGCAGAGTAATGTGAAGGTTCCCAGTGCCAAAAAAAAAACTCTCAAGTGTCCTTCTAATGCTCACAAAAGACTTTGGAATGCATCATTTTTCATTTGAAATCTGTCACGTCTCAAACTGCGAGGTTTGATCGCTGATTGGATTTCCATATTGGCTCTCGGGTATTTGGTATCACAGCAGTATTTAGGTTTCACCTAAAAATGAGGATGTCTTTTTTCATTGTTCCACACCTGCTCTCACTTACAATAAATTCTCGAAACACTAGTTGGAATGAGGATGAATTTTTTTTTAAAGTGATCAAGCTGTCTTTCATTTACTTCAGTGTGTGTGTGTGTGTGTGTGTGTGTGTGCACTTCAGTATTAAGTTGCACCCCTTGCAGCAGCCTTCACCATGAAATCTTCTGTCAGGCTATTCTGTGAACTGATACTCTTTATCCACATATTCCTCTGGGACTTCATGTGACACACTTTGTCAAGAGTGGGGCTGAGCTTCTTATATAGAAACACTTGATTGTAAGGGAGTATGGCCCCCGTTCAGGCCCAGAGTTCCTATTCCTATTCTAGCAAGACTTCAATTGATTTTATAGTCAAATAGCTGCATATACTGAATAGACATTTTTAATGACTTTATGAGTTGAAATGTAACAGTGCTGGTTGTTCATTACTTAGATTTTAGAATTGTAGGCTCAACGAAAAGCTACAAAAAACATATTCAAGTTCAAATGCTTAAACTACAGAGGCCCAAAGCAGACATCCATCCATCCATATTTTTTACTCCGTTTCCTGTGATAACAAGTTACTTCTCAATGTTTCCTCAGGAATTTTATCCTCAAAGTTGCATAGCACAAAAACACAGAAAAAGGTTTAATTTACCGATTAGTCTGGGCAATGGCAGCATGGCAGGTCATGGTGCGGCCTACCACGTTGACCAGCTTGTTGCTTTTTTTTTGTTTTCCAGATCACAGAAAATTATCCCATTATCATGAGAAAACAAGCTTGATCATGTTGAGATAATGAGATGACGCTCATTCAAACATTGAGATAGCAAGAACAACTGAAATCAACTCGTTATCAATGAAAATTGATGTTAATAAAAAGTATGGATACGTGTTTGATTAGTGCTTCTATAGAACACACCCATTTAAACCAGGATTTCTTATATACTGTATGTCATCAGCAGTTCTTCTACACCCACTCATATCAATGACACAGCAGAGGGAGGAAGGTGGAAAGAAAGTGTAAAGGCCAAAAATTGTCCATTTGAATTTTAATACAGCAGAAAAACGAGCATGTAAACCATTATTACTCTGTTACCAGGATTCTCAAACGGTACAAATTACGTCTTGTTCCAGTAAGCTGTACATCACTTACAGCAATAGAAAGGAGAGAATTGTGTCCACTGAAAACATATTTACATTTTTACATTGAAATTATATTACTCTGTTCCATTCTTCACTACTTCACTACAGCGATTAAGAGACATAGTTGTGCACAATTGTTCCGAAGCTGAAAATTACTACATGTGGAGGACCTCTGAGTAAAGGTCAAAATGATTTAAGAGACACATAATGTTTGTAGCATCTATTTAAATGTCTGTAATGATGGTACGTTTTCCTTTAATGTGACAGATGTTTCAACAAAAAGAAATTTTTAGAGGCACCTGCTCTTCATAAGATTCTCTTAATGGGGAAATACATCCAGCTGATTCAGAGAAAAAGTGAAAAAGTATATGGGTGTGGCGATGACAGTTTAGAGCACAGAACACATAAAAAAATAGATTTTGTGAAACAGCAGAGCCATCATACAGTTCTGTGTTTTTTTTTTTTTGCTTCAGTGCTTTTCTGAAAACATTCATATAAATGTAGCAGGTATGGGAGCAAATTCACAACAATAATGGCACAGGGAGGAGCTCATGGTGCACCTGATGTAGCATGCAAACAGCCACTTAAAGCAGATAATGACAGCGTTTGGAATGGGTGTCACAAAAAAAGGGGGGAGAAATTATGAGGTAGATGTCTAATGGTGAATGATAACACAAAAGATAACTATCGTTTTAATAAATAATGTAAAAGCTGGGCTGGATATAATCGACGTAATCACACATATTGGCCTTTTTTCTCTGACGTAATGCTCAATATATTCAACCACTTGAATGATCAACAACAGAAAAGATACTAGATAAAGAAATATGAATGTACAAGAAGCTGTATTCAAGATAACACAACATGCTAACCTGTTAAGCTTACGGATGAGACAACAGCTAACAATAACGACCGCTTTCAAGCTTACACCATTTGATAATGTCACATCTTACAATAGAAAAATGGGTTTATTAATTATGAAAGACCTTTTCAAGAGTTTGTCAACAGATCTTTATGCCATTTCAAATAATTACATGGAACACCATCAAACAGAAATGTAAGCTAGGGTGGCAGCTAATGCTAATGTAAGTCGCCTCACAGCGATTAACTCCTTTGTTTGAGAAATGGCCGGATATCTCGTTGGACTTCGACTTTTTAAACCTTTTTAGTTCAATCAAATCGGATATTTTTTTTTGATGATGACAAATGTTAGATTCTCAACATATATATGACTTGGCACAGGAGAACATTATCTCTTAAGACCAGTATTTGAGCTTCACATTATAGGAAAATGGCCGCCAGATTACACTAGCAAATTCTGAGATTTTGTATTCTTGTTGGAAAATCTTCTTCAGTTGGCTCTTCTTTTTAGTGTTTCTTCAATAAAGGTAGCTTTTGTCCTCAAATTGTGAGCTGTAAATAACATTGTAATGGGTACTGAACAAAAACTGCAGCACTAAGACAACCAGCTAACTTACCATCAAGCGAATTTAAAAGCTCTACATGGGACAGCGGAAGTGTGATTAAAATGCAGCACATCAGTCTTCAGGTAGGTTTTTTTTTTTTTTTACAGACTGTACAAGTGTTCAACCGAACACACCCTTCAAATCTTACCCCTCAGAGTATTTACATTTATTTTTTTACATTTATAAATATTGTGCAATAGTTTGCAACAGCAATCCTGAGATGCACGTCACCACCTCATCTATGAGAGTCCATGCTCTCAACATCAGGCATTGCCCCACAACAAAATTCAAGATGGCTTCTTTTAAGGTTCTTTTAACTATAAAAAGGAGGGAGAGAAAAGAAATCATCCAGCTTTGAGATGACTGACAGGGAAACAGCCTGGACAGAGGTCCCGTCTCTGACCAGAAACGTCTTTGATCCCTTTAGCAGAGGAGGGAAGTCCACATTAAAGCACTTTCAAAAAGAGCACAAGGGGGTAAGGAAAAATTCAGGGGATAAGTTGGAAAGGGAGGGTTATGATTTGGTTTCTGTTTGTACTTTCAAAGTTTTTGCTAGTTCTGCTTGTTGCCGTACATGAGGGGGATGATGTAGACGGAGATGTCGTCTCCTGAGCCTAATCTGTCGTTAGATATCCTCCAGCCTCGATCCTTCAGCACCCCGCGGGCTCTCATTATGAGGTCTTGAGCTGCCATTGTGTACCTGATAAAACAAAAGTGACAGAAGATAAAAGCACACTCAACCAGCTGTAATGTACAATAAGAAGATAGCAACACTTGATCATTATTTAACATAATATTCGTCTAAGAATCATCCGCCCGCAGCCAGATGAGGAAAGAAAATTTGAATGACGGTGAACTTTTGAACTACACTACCAACCATGCTAACAAGAGAATAAGAGTGAGATTGCCTTATTAATAGTCTCAAAAGCTTTTCCTTGACATCAGAGAGATTACTTATCTAAATGTTTGGAAATTTGCATAATAAGAAAAGAGTTTTCCTCCTCTACAAAAAAAAAAAGGGGAGAGAGGAAGTTCAGCCGTGATGGCCGATGAGTAGAACGTGCCTGTGCTGGTCGTCGGGGTCGCAGTTTGTCAGGAAACAGGTGACAGCTTCAGCTACTTCCTGGTTTGAGAGGACATCCCACAGGCCGTCAGTTCCCAGCACCAGAACGTCATCAGCTCCGTGCTCGCACTGAGCCAAAGGGTAAACTTTTACCTTTTTGTGCATGGGGGGTAAAAAGAGGGCAATAATTAGGGATGCATGGACTCTATCAGTCATTTGAACCTGTAACATTCATTTACAATGAAGATGTCATATGAAATGTTTTGCAGTTACACATTGTCTGCACTTTTGTAAGAGCTGAAGCTCCAGTTAATGGAACCGCTTTCCTGTCTCTACTACCCAGATATAAACAAGCACGGTGAATATATAGCATCTAGTAGGAGAAGAATGATTTGGCAGTATTTTTTATCTAGAAAAATGAGATAAAACGTATGTATGTAGGCTGTGTGATGTTAAACTGGATTGCATTGCATAACCAGCGTTAGCATGGGCATGATGTTAACCTGCAGGGCGGCTCTAAGGCTAGTGGTGCTAATGTTAGCCACACTCAGCAAACCAATTCACACTGTTTACCTACTGGCCATGCTAAATAAATTGTGCTCAAATTGGACTGTTTGGATGGTCTGAGTGTGTAAATGTAGCGACTAGAAAAGTAGTTTCCTTGTTTCTTTACATGTAATATGCTATGATATATTATCAGGGTTTATATGAGAAGTTGGAGGCTAAATGAATGCTTATGTCGAAATGCAAACACATATTTTTTAGCTTTCTATTAATTGTCTTTGTTTTGTCATAAGCTTTTGAACAACGATTATCCATTAAGTAAAACCTCAACAGTCCTCAAACTTTGAGCAGCTGTTTTTTTTTTGTTTTGTTTTTTTGGGGGGGGGGGGGCAATGCATTATGGGTATGTTGTGAACATCTAGAGCCAACTGAAAAAACACATGACTACTGGTAAGCATGGTTGATGTTGTTTATCCTTTTTTAAACTCCCTTTTCCAGAGTGAACACACAACATACTTTGGACTAATGTATATCAAAGATAACGTTTGATGTTCATCTGCTTAGTTTCACGGTTATTATTCTTGGCACACATCATGTTGCATAATTAGCACATTAAAAACAGCTAAGGATAACTGAAATGTCTGTATTTAAGTACAACTGGGATATTCCTGATGGATCAAATACATTTAGCATAAATAATAGTCCAAGAAAGCTGTGCGTAATAAGGTGTGTAATAATAGAATAACTGAGGCTCTTACTGGGGTGACATAAGTGTCTAAAAAGTACCAAAACTGCCATAAGAGTTCCCTTTTCCTCGGCACATCCTCATCTATAAATGTTTCTGCTACCTCTTCTTTCAAAGACATCCTTACGAGAGGAGAACTGTTACTGTGGCAACTGTTGTGAGGCCAACACTTTCTAATTACTCTGCCTGAACATATCTAGAGAATACACCGAGACCTTGGACTCTGGCATAGTTCAGTGGCTCCATGTGTTTCCTTTGCTACAGTGGGAGTCGCCTATTCACAGGAGATACTCCAACTAACTGCTGAGGCCGCAGGCAGATTAACCTCTGTGTGTGTGCATCGTGAGCCTTTGTGTAATGGAAAACCTTGGGCTTCAAGTCACACTTTGACAGAGAGTAAAGCACAGATTCTATCAATCCATGGAACAGATAGAAGTACTTGGACTTGATTTTGCAATGAGGATTTAAACACTGACAAACATCTTTGAAGGAGAGGTGCTGACTCATGCATTTCATTTTTGACCCTTGGCCAATATTTGATTTCTGCTGAGGATAATCTGACGACTGTACGTGTCAAGGTTAGCTCTTTCTTAAGAATTGCTTCGTACAACCCAAAAAAAAGAAATCAGTGGTTCTAACTTGACGTGTTTGCACGATTACTACGAGGCGCTCCCTGAGCTCTCCCACACATTTAAATTCCTGCATTTAACATCTTACTGGACATGTACTTAAAAATGTGCTCACATCACCAATAGCAACTGTGATAAAATGAAAAAACAACAACACAACATCAAAAACAGAGGATGAACTACAACTGAACTCGGAGGGCAATGAATTAAAGATCAAGGGAATTTGTGGGCTTTGCGACTACTGCAATCATGAGCAGCAGACACCGGGAAGGAAAGGAGTCATTTGAGAGCGGCGGCTGGTGGGGAATGTTAATGTGCCCGATTGACCACGCAGTTCACAGTGTGGACTGTTAATGGCTAAAGTCATTATACATCATTACCACCGTGCGCTCATTTCATCGGGACAGAGAGGTGAGAAGGCAAAGTGAAAGGAAAGTTCCACCATAAAATAAATGATGAAGTGATGATGTGAGTCGCATACTCATAAAGGCTCAAATGCCATGTACCAGTAAGTGTAGGATGATTATATGTTTTCAGCAACAACTGAGTATATTAAAAGAATAAATGTTACTTAAAAGTTATAAAATACTGTCATTGTCACTCTGGTTTCTGTCTGATGGAAAAAGTTATTCCATCTTAATGTGCAAACAGTCAAGGATGAAGTGATGAAGGACAACAGTTAACATGGAGCTTACCTCTGGGCAGCAGGACAGGAAGGGTTTAATGTAGATATTTGAGTCGTGCACTTTGAGATTGTGGTCCCCAAGACCTCTGGTGACCCCGATGGTTGCCAGCACACGAGCCTGCAAAGAGAAGAAGAAATGGAAACTCAATTAGAAACCAAATAGAAACAACACACTCAGTAGTGTGCAGGGATTGGCTTGTCTGGAGAGGCTGTGGCTCAGTTGGTAGAGTCGGTCATCTGTTAACGGGAAGGTCGGGGGTTCGATCCCAGCTCCTACAGCTACATGCCCGATGTGTCCTTGGGCAAGACACTTAACCCTCAAGTTACTCCCGCTGCTTGGTAGGTGGTGTGAATGGGATTAGTTGCTTTTGATGGACACTTTGCATACAAAGCTCTACCATCAGTGTGTGAATGTGGGGAGACAGATTGGATCTTAATCTTCAGTTCTGAATAATTTCTTTAGGAGGTTTTTTTTTTCTGTCTTTTCAAGCTTCTAATTCAGTTTGGCTAAATTTGATTAAAACTTTGTTTTACAAGACCATAGTTGTAAAAACCTGCAATTATCTTTTCAGCTCAGAGAAGCTGTGTAAGTTTCTATTTGACATGAATCTGCTCGAATTTATTGTCAGTGTTTGTATCAGTCATATCAATGTGTTGTTACTGTGAACCGAGACATTTTGACTGAGAGCGTACTGAATTATTTTTGGGGGAAACATCCTAGGATGAAGGTAAGACTAAGTTTAAGACAAAATATGATTTTAGTTTGCTTCAGTGAGCCTATGCATTCATCCCTTATTATTTTAAAGAGAAACCAGCATGGGACATTCCTAGAGTATCTGGATGTATGAGCAGCATTCAGGCAAATAAACACACACTTCGAGACAGCACCTTCCAGTTGTGCTGAGTGCCTAACGAAGGTTCCATGAGCCCCAGACCCCATCAAACTCATTTGTAAGCTTTACAAAACTCTTATTGACTCTTTCTATCCGCACAGATCACCACTGCCGCTTCTAAAAATGGCTTCTAGGGAACTGGGCTAATTGAATCTACTGTACAGCATGTGTGACAGGGGAGCCACATAAAGACGAGGAGAGAGTATGAGGGCGACTGAGGCCTGGTAGCAAAGAGCCTGAATCAGTATGCAGCACAGAGACATAGAAGGGAAGGAGACAGAGAGGTGGGGAGAAGCGAGAGCGCTTGAAAGTGGCGGCAAAGCTTCTCCGGTGGAGAAGGGGAGACATCCTGGGATTAATTGTTGAGCGTTGGGGCCCAGCGAGCTGCACGCCGGGCTTTGAAGTGCTCTGGCGTTTCTCTCCCTCGCACAAAGCCCCCTCACTCTTCTATCTAGACATCCATCTCTGCGCCTCACTTCAAAGGACACGACGTGGGCACGGCCGACTGTGCAGGGGTGAACCCGTACGTGGTTGAAGGCAGGGGAGCGCTGTGGGGTGACATCTGCCCCAGTCATCAGTCAAATGTAAATCTACTGTCTGTCTGGGTTCAACTGAAAACTAGAGGAGGCCACAGTTAAACATATTCAGATCTATCGTGTTTCCTCTCTGACCTTTTCAATGCCACAAGGACAAGATGCTGCACAGCGCCACATGTACAGCAGCGCCGGGGAAAGGAAAATGTCATGAACAGTGTGCTGAGATTTTGACCTTTTGCTTTATGTCTCCTGTCAGACAACTAAAAAGAATCTCCTGCAAGTTAGTGGTTGAAGGACGTTAGATTCAGTTAACATATTGACACTTCTCATATGCTTCTTAACACATTTTTCATCCACTAACAGTTGGCTCAGGTGGGAGTCTCACCTTTGACTCATAGCTGTTCTAGTGCTACATGTTACCTGCTGTGAGACTATAGACCTTTTGACATGGCGGCTATTTTTTCTAAGTCATGCTCAGTGTGGGAGGCTCAACAGCTGTCATACTGTACTGCTGTGTTGTTAGTCAAACATTTAGGGTTAATGTTTTTGACAAATGTTCTCAATTAACTGCCTTCAGTTTAATTACAAACACAGACCATTCTTATTGAAAATCCAGAGGACAATCTGCTCATACTTAAAACTAAATATTAGCAAAGGTCAATCAACAGTTAAAGTTAGCATTCAGCCACTTTCCAGAAAATACCTTAAGCTAAGAACTGGCTAATAGTGAATATACGGTTTGATAGCTCTACACACAATAAAACAACAAATGCTTAGGTCAGCATTCAGTCACTTACTAGATATTACATTTAGCTTGGAAGTGCTGAAATCTAAGACTTCCTTTTGGTAGATTTACACAACTAAATCGGAAAGGCTTAAAGTCCCCAGGAAACGGAAGTTCAAGAGTCCCTTACTACCGCATCACCAAGTTTGCCAGGAAAAGAAAAGAAGGTTATTTTGTGTAAAAATACTCAGATATTGCGTTACTGAAATATATATGGCAGATAAATGAAGATTAAAAACAGGAACGCCGGATTAAAGGGGGGATATATTTTTTTAAAATTTCATGGGGACTTCAAAATTCCTAGCTGATACAATGTTAACTGGAACAAATAACTAGTTAACATCATTCCTGCTAACAGAAGTTCGCTAACATGATCTTAGTTGACACAAATAACTAGTTAGCATCTGATTATCTATCATAAGTTAGCAAGCATAATTTTAGCAGGAACAAATGACTAGTTAATGTTTTACAAGCTAAGCTAACGTTTTTTTAATTTGCCATTAAATGCTGAAATTCAATATTTAATTGCAATTAATCTCATTTTTACACAAATGTTTGAAATTCCATTATTTTGCATTGCAAATTTTTTTTTAGGTTTTTTTGGGATTACTAAACTGGCTTAAGCCAAGGGTACTTTATTCCCAGGTTGAGATAGGAAACTGCTTTTATTTTCAAGAATTTGAGGTAAACTCAAGGTTACAGCATTAACTTAACCACGGAAAAAGGAACTTGCAACAGATCAAAAAGTGAATGAAAACAGCTACAGAGGAATGTAAAAAGGGGGAAATGTTTGATGTCGCGAGGTGGATATTACTTTTGACTTGTCAACTGAGCTGTCTGGGAGTTTTTTTTTTTTTTTACAGTGGTGTCGTTCTTTTACATCACTGTGCCTGCAAAGAGACAAAGTCTGTGTGGTGGCTTAGCTACGGCGCGCCTAAAGGGACAAAATTACATTCGATCAATGCGATTAAAAAAAAAAATGCTTTAATTTCAGACCTTAATTACATCGCGATTAACGTGTGAATGCTGAGAGGCCCAGTTTTTATTTTATTTTGAAACATGGACAGATTCCCCTCCAGATTTTTTCCCCCTTTCCATTTGCTTATTTATTGAGTTTTTTTTTTTTATTCATACATATTAAAATGTAAAACACATTGCAACAGCTTTTTAACTTCCCAAGCTGAGTGTGATGTGAGAGGGAAATGGGACAGTGTGTTAACACACTGAATTAGATCAGATGCTTTCAGTGCTATATGTCAGTGGTTATGAATACTTGTGGAGAAAGGCAACAGGAATGCTTTTCAGTGGCTGTCTCCTCCACACAGTGACGTGGGGGGGGGGAGATGTGAAGGGGCTGGGGTCGGGGATTTGAGTAATGGTGCCCTGGAGAGCTTTGATTACAGCGAAACACACAAGGCCAGGCGAGTAACTCAGCCAGCGGCGGTCTGACCACTTCTTACCTTCTTGCCTTCGCCGTAGATCAGGGGAAACTTCAGGTCATCGTCGTCAATGGTTTTATAAGCCCTGTGCAGGGGGAGAGAGGACACTTTAATGAGTTTTTGGTTTATGGCAGGCAGCGTGCACGTGCCCCAGAGATGCATCGCTTTCCCATCGCCCCCTGCAGGCCTTGCTGCTGCTGAAGCAACTGGCACAGAGAGAAAGAGCATGATAGGAGGAATAAGAAAGAGTGAGGGAAAGAAATCCTCCCAGACATCACTCAGAGTACTACACAGTCCCTTAGCATATTTCCCTCCTAGTCTCTCTAACTGTTTTTTGTAAAAGTCTCCCTAGTGACAAAGAGTTAGACATCTGTGCATGTATGAGACACTCTTGGATTACTGCTACAGTTGTGTGTGTGCATGCCTACAATGCATGTTTCTGAAGGTTCAGAGGTAAAGCGGATGAATGATGCAAGACTATCCACGTTTACATTCCCCTGCTCTCGGAGCAGTGTTTAAACTTCCTCAACTGATGAATAATTTAGACTGAGACCAGACAAAGCAGCAGCACAAAGACAGAAAAAAAGACTGTAGAATACTGTATGCATTCATGCCAGGTCTTAGGATACACTTTTTACCTCAACAGCTCAGGAACTTGAAGTGAACCCTTCACTTGTACTCACACCTCCCTACCCATGCTGTTGCGACGTCAGTATGCAGTACCAGAAAGGACAGAAATTTGAGCACATTTCCAAAGAATAAGGAAAAAGTTTTAGTTTCTCAACTCTCAGAAGGTACCAATGGAAAATTGTTGTCTGTTTGAACTATGGCCGTTCCTTGGTCAATAATTTAAGATGCAAGTTATTCTTTATTTTAGCCTAACACCAGAGGAAATAAGGTAATACATGCCTAAGAGTTTTCGTATCCACCAAGCGGTCTGGTTCTGTTTGGTACACATTTATTGTGGTTTCCACCGCCAAGTTGGGAATGGTACCAAAATAAGGGATCCATAGCGTCCTACTTTTTTGGTACCCTTCTGTTGGGGTGCCAAGGGTACCGATCCAACCCTACAGGGTCCCTTTTGTTTACTGTGTCCCGTTCTTCTTCTTTGTTGAACTTAATTAATAGCGGGCTACACTGTGTTGGGCTGCTATGATGTCACACTATTACATAGCTGACGCAGCTATCTCCATCTGGCTTACACTCCGTTTAACAAATAAGGGTACGGTTGGCTGTGGAAACGCAAGCAAGTTCAGGGTTTACCGTACCGAACTGAACCAAACTGTACTAAACCAAACCGGACTGCTTGGTGGAAACGGGGCTTTAGTAGACATTCTTTTATGGTAAAATAATGTTAAAAATGAAAAGCTATTTAGTCTGAAAAGCTGCTTAAATCAGACCCAAAGTAATATTTTTGAATATGATATGACTCAGGCCGGCCTCACACACTTCATCCTACATATTTCAGCTGCTGTGGAGAAGATTAGGAGAGACCAGGATGGTTTTTACATTACTGCTGGTTCCACTCAGAGAGACCATATGTTTCCACCTTAGGCGAGCGCTATACTGCTTCACTCAGCACTTTTTAGAACAGTGTGCAGAGCGAGGAGTATCACCACGAGTGCAGCCCACAAACACAGAAATACAGTCTGCAGCCTGAGGATCTCTGGAGCGAAAAAAAAAAAACATTCATTTTGGGATCTTTGGAGCGAAGAGCTGCAGCACAAAATAACGACCCATAGACGAATTCATGCACTAATGTTTGCAATATTCATGGTGTGGAAAAACCTCTAAAACAGCAGTCTGATGACATGAAACCTAATCTGAGCACCAAAAGAGGCACTAATTACACTGGGGAACTCACACTCTCTATTTGAAAAAAATGAAACCACCATTCTCCTGCTAAAACACTCCTCACTTCTTTTTTATTTAATTATTTCATCTCCAGGACGTGAAGCACTGATGCACAGAGACACACTTTATGTCTTTATTCAAAGACATCTTGAAAGAAATCCCCGGAGCCTGCTGTCGGGGACAGCATCCCTCCTGAGACTTGTGTTTACAGCGAATCCACCCTGTCAGACTTGAGATAACAAGTGTGTGACAGAGAGAGACACAAACACATTAATCCTGTTATAATACCCGATTCCTGCTCTGGGAACACGCAGTACAAAAAAAGGGCAAGGAGAGTTAGCTCAACTGGCTGTACTGTTTGACCACAACACTGAGCGCCTTCACATTTAAGAGCTGTTTGGACGGCAAATACATTGAAAAAGCATGATTACTAAGATCGACAAAACAGGGGAGGAAAGGATAGAGGGGGGAGGAGGGTGTATCATCATCTCTGCAGGTGATGAGAGACGGGCAAGAGAGGAGTGATGTCATGTGATGTCAGAAACATTAGCACAAACATAGCTACACACAAGTCTACACACAAAACATTCAAGTGGTCACACATTGACAGACTTCGAGGTGACATTGTGGTCGGGTTTGTGTGTCAGCACCGGACGAGTCAGACAAATCGGAGCATTTGACAGCGGGGTTCAAATAAACTTTTTGGCCGACGTTGATGGGCTTTTTATTGATCGAGTGGTGCGTTCAGGGGCAGAGCAAGGCCACCGTTAAGCGCAGATATCAGTCATGCCGGTACAAAGGCATTGTAAAGAATGAAAAGAGGAGGAGGAGAAGCAGCAGAGGGAGGGAAAATGTGTGACAGAGATGAAGGTGTGTGTTTTTTTTCCCCCTTGTTCTTTCATTTGTTGTCTGTAGGATCAGGAGACAGACAGGCATTCCAGGGGGCGGGGACTTCAAAGAGAGACAGCTTGAGCGCTAATCATTGTCATTTATCAATGCCCACCTCTGTGTCTTACACATTAACTTCTGTCATTTTTCTTCAAATCTTACCTACATTCTTCCCTTCCCCTCTCCTCCTGTATCTCTATTTTTATCTGCGGTCATACTGTCATTTTTCTCTTTTCTTTTTTAACCTGTCTCTGTCCTCTCCAGCCATGCATCCTCTTCCCTCCGCCTGGCTGGTTTGACTGCCCCGGTGTTTTGATCGTGTCAAACACGGCTGACCACTCATCATCCATCACTCTGAGATGTCTCCACAAGGCTTCTACCATTACCAACGCCAGCGCACAATCTAGTCCCTATAGTCCAGAGAGGAAGACAGAGAGAGGTGGGCTGCAGACCAGTATGCCCTCATTAGAGCGTGGCCTTGATCATGAATGCCTTTGAGGGAACTGGATGCCAGCATAGACCCACATACACACGCAGCATGTGGGCACGCTAGCTGCACATACAGACAGGAGAGCGTACATGTACAGACAGAGAGCTCAGAGGCTTTAAAAAAAAAAAAAAAAAAGATCATCTGCACCTATAGACTGTCTGAAGTGCACCCATATGAGATGACACAGTTAAGTCACATCCACGCACATCAGAGCCCCGGCTGACAGGGTACTCATTTAAAAAGACCCAGACATAGACCGGGTGAAAGGAGCAGAACTTGCTTATGGTTAGAACCTGATTAAAAATACATCACAGGTTGGTCTGCGCTGCCGAGGCGGTTAGCAGCAGACGTCAGGCTGCGAGTTCTGGGTCCAACATGGAAACAGCTGCAGACTGACCTACATGTGCCGAGCCGAGGTGGTGCCAGGAAATATACAGCTCATCTCCACCTGCTACACCTTTTATGTATATACACACAGCAGCGCATTCATGTGCATTAGAGATTTTCAACAGCAGAATCAAGCGTTCAAAAAACACGGCACAGACCAGTCTGCTGAAGTAAGCAACCAAATACATTTTTTTTTTAAACGTTTTTTTTAAGTGTACTCGTATTTGTAAATAAATGTTTCTATGAGATCCATTTAAATTCATAGACAAAAATAATCTTTATATTTAGCTCCTTATAACAGCTATAACAACTAGGCATAATAAGATTTGACATACAACAGTTGTAAGATATGCAACTGTGTAAAAGACTCAACCTCCCATCAGCATATAAACCAGCTAAACTAAGTTCCAACTTAAAGCTCCTGTGAGGAACAGTCATTGTTGAGCTGATTTTGGCGCCCCCTGTGGACAAAGTGGGGCCTCTTATCGCTTTGCTGATCTTTTCCTGTACATGTGTAAGTAGTCTTTTCTACTGATAAACGCCACCCTGCTTTCTTTAACAGTCAAATCTAACACTCACAATTAAACCTTGTTGTGAAACTTGTGACAACAAAGGCTGTTTAAGCAGTCACCTTGTATGTAACAGACATTCAAAATAGCTTTATATAGAGAGATATCATTGTTGATGATCTTGTTTGCTTTTGCATATCATCAACATCAGGAATGTCTTTAGTGTGTTTCATAAACAGGTAGAAAACTCCTCAAAGGAGCTTGCAAGAACATACATCATTAAAAGGTGCACTATGTATATTTGGGAGGAAAAATTGAAAGTTGGAGAAGTGAATACATTCTATGCTATATTTCTGAACTAAATACACAAACTTTCAAAAGGAAAAAATGGGTCTCTTGAACACTGTTGAGTGAGCAAAGTGAGAAAAGCTACCAGGAGAGTTACGGTTTCACTATTGAGGACCCCCCACCTTAACTTCTTGAGTAGCATTTTATCTTCTAACAGTGTTACAGGGACCAAATATTCCTCTGAGGACAGTTTGAGTATAGGGTTATGAACATATACCACAGAATCTGTACATTTCTCCAACTTTTACATTTCTCTACCAAAACTCCATAGTGCACCTTTAAAAGGCTTCACCACTAATAATAGATGAGAATAGAAAAAAACAACAACACAGACTTGGAAGTGAAGTAAGTTTACACAAAGTGTGGAGACATACTCAATTTACTGTCCATAAATGCACTCTGAGGCCTTTTTTATTTGGTAATGAAACAGACTTTGATTAACAGCGATGCTTCTTTGTGACCCGCAGAAGCAAACAAGACCATCAGATTGAACAGCGACTATTTCTGTAAAGGTGTTTTTACTGCCTGTAACCTCTGCCGGTGGACTGGTGTCATAAAAAGCCTTTCAAAGCCGACTGAGCTGAGTGATACCTTTGACAGTTAAAAAACAACATATTTTTTGTTGAAGAACACAAAACACATAATGCGTGTGTCAGACGGGTTCATCAAAGAGATAAGATGTTCTGCTCTGTGCACAGGGGTCAAAAAAAAGCCACACAAGATGATCGATGCTTAGAGGCTGTAATTTAAAAAAAAAAACAGAGTTACGGCACTGGAGACGAAAAGCCCTGACCTGATAATTATATATTTTTTTATGTTTAGGCAGCATAAGGTGTTCAACAAAGATTTAGCGGACTTCAATTCAGTTGTATCTACAACACAAGTATAGGTACCTAAGTACATTATTAGTGTAAATACAACTCTGATTGGTTCACTTAAGGGTTAAATAAAATTCTCTCACTTCTCCATATCTTTCCTCTTTTTCCATCTGGTTTTCTCTCTTTGACCTTTTTTTTTTTTATTTTTTTATCTTCTCAGTAAGATAAAAGAGTGAGTCCTTGATGTGCCCACAGATTCTTTCTCACCTTCTTCTCATACTGAAGCAGAAATGTCAAGGCCACTTCCTGCTCTCCTTCTGCCACTGCAGCTTCACTTCAAGAGTTTTTTTTTTTTTTTTTTTAAACCACTGCACACTGAATCGATGGAGAATGCTGCAGGTGGCTATACTCGTTGGGGGAAACCTTAGAGGTAATCAGACTCTGATTATCAGAGTTATGAAGATAATGTAACAAAGTAATGCAATTCAGCGAGGCATGATTATGTGAGGTAGCGGGAATGAGCTCCACATAAAAAGCGTCTCTCTGAGGGCTCATATCTGGATTCAGTCTGATGCACAGGAAGTGTCGGGATGTGAAAAATAAGGAGCAGTATTTTCAACAATGTGTTTAGAGCTTTAAATAATTTAGCAGGAAGGGAGTGGAGAAAGTTACTGCCACACATACTGAATGTGTACTGTATTCTCCTCCAAGTCTGCAGAGCTTATATTAGAGCCTGACTGATATATAGTTTTTCAAAACAGATACTGACTTTAGAGATTAACTACATGGCAGCACATATTGAAAACAATATAGCCATGTTTTACTACTAATGGGAACCCATTTTTCACAGGTATGATTATAAAAGATATTCAGAGGGCTACATTGTAAAACATTGTGTACCATGTTTGTGTGGTACAAATACCGCAGACAGTGCTGAGAGTAGTTTAAATTGTTGAGTTTTAGTGCTCTCAGCTGGACAAACAACACAATGACACATATTTAAAATCAACTGAAATGTTGTTGTTTTTTCTGATTAAATTCTGTAAAATAGCTTACTTTTCATGCTTGCATACTGTATATAAGTATATTTATGTGATATATTGGTAATATGGTCCAAATCTATGATGGCTGGGAAGTACAAAGCATAATTACAAAGTGTGAAACACTTTTAATAGATTTAAGACAAATTTAAGTCTTGAAAAACATTTTAACATTTTATAAAACATAATTACAGAACCAAAACACTTTTACCCAGGACAAAACACATTTACATTTAAAAAAACAAATTTACAAGATGTGAAACACTTTTACCAGTCCAGTTTGTTTCAAACAAAATGACTCTCACTCAATCACTTCTGGGTCACTTCCTGCATTTGGTACATTCCCTTTCCGTCAAGATTCTGTCTTTTGTACATTTGTTTGGGGACTTGTACCGTGAGTGTTCTGTCACTTGTAAATTGTCTCAAATGTTGTAAAAGTGTTTCACACTTTGTAATTTTGCTCGCACTTCCCAGGCACCGTACAAATCATTCTGATATTATTGTTGCTCTCTCATTAGGATAAACTATATCAGTAAGTCAGTTTGAAAAGGAATAAATGAGTAAACCCACCATCCTGACATGGTGAAGTCACGGTACAGCATTCTCTTCCCAACCTCCTTTCTCTGGACTCTCCTCGGGAATTCCAGATGTGTGAACTCATTCCCTAATAAGTGGGGCTGCATGTAGGCCTTTGATATGAGGGGGGGGGGAGAAAAACAGAATAAGAGTAAGATTGACATACCCAGGGGATAGGAAAAACAATTCCATAGTCTATTAAGTTGGTAGAGAGAGCACGCAGAGCAAGAGAGACAGAGCTAAGCATAGTCAGTGTGTCTCAACGGGAGGGGAGGTCAGGTCTGCTAATATCTGACAGCTGTGCCTGCGAGTAAGGAGGGTAAGGAAGGTTCGTTCATACCAGGAACTGCAGTCGCTGTCTCTCTGACTCCGGCGTGAACTCTGCTGACATGGGGATGACCTCTCCGGCTCGGATAATGATAGCTCTGAGGGAGAGGAGCAGACAAAATAGAAGTCAGTTTATTTTAGACGGGACACCGTTTCTCCCACTGCGAGCGACAGAGAAGAGACACACATAGGTTCATTGCAAGGGTATATTTTTGGTCTAAATAAGTGCGTGTTTGGGTATCTCACCTGCTGTCCCCGGCGTTCCCGACGTAGAGCTTCCCTTGCAAATAGATGACCGCAAGAGCTGTGCATCCACCTGAGATATTGTAGACTGCCTTCTCCTTTTCTATCTGCACATCCTGAATACAAACGCACACATAGATTGATTCCCCTTCCTCAAATAATCAAAACCTATCATCAGCAAACAATCATGTTTCTAACCACCACAGCCATCAAAAACTTTTTTTTTTTTTTTTAAACTATCTTTTTTTACACAAAGTATTTTAAGAGAAATCCTGTTACTGCGTGAAATTTTGCCCTTAAACTTTAAACACCCGCCATGATGCCGTTATTAATTATAGCAACATAATGAATTCATTTATCAATAGTGCCATGAGTCAAGCAGCAATAAAACCTTATGGAGACCTAAAGGATTGGAGAGAGAGTTTGCAGGGACCGCTGGTTATTACAGCAGTTAATTAGCCCAGATTAATTTGTTGCTAATTAAACCAAAAAATGATTTGAAGAAAAAAAAAAAAACCCCAATGCGATCCGTTCATTAACTAGATGAATAATTAACCTGTCAGGGAATTAATCAAAATGCTCACGTAAATGTGAACTGAGCTGTGCACACTTTGTTTAACGCTTTATGTTCTTGTTGTTGGTCTGTTGTTAGCAGCTCCTGAGAGGGGGGTTGAGTCACAAAACATCAGAGGGGTAAAGGTAAAGGGGTGATAATGGATTTGAAGTGTCTAAAAATATATAATTTGGGTGTTTGTTATTTTTTTTGGGGCGGGGATTTTGTTTGCAAAACAGAGAATTGAAAAAAAGACCCAGTACTTTGATTTTTCTGTTGTATCTTTCATCACCAGGAGTACACTGATTTACACAAGTCATATCCCCAGCTTCTCCTTCACATCCCTCAGTCAATATCAACAGACTGTGCAGTGTGAAAATGTCGGCTAACCATTTAAGCAAAGCCGTCCTGAACCAGTTTTACCCCATGAGGGACATTTCCCAAACTGAAGACCTCACCCCTTGTGTGTGCTTTAGTCGTGGAAGTGACACTGTGTGTCTCTCTGACAGGCGGCGGAGGTGGATTGGAATGTATGCTGGCATTGTGTGCTCGAACACAGGTGTTTGTGTCAGGAACATAGACAAATGTGTGCGTGTGTGCATGTGCGTGTGCATGGCTATAACTGTGTGTGCATAAAAACCAATTCATAAGAGTGAGTGCATGTGTGGGCGTTTTTATACGTTTTGTGCAGGTATTTTCATTTTCAGAACAAACACAAACACATACTGTTGTTGTGGGACATTGTTTCAGGAGTGAAGGGGCATGATGGTTACACAAGGTGGATACACATGTATAGGGAAGATTTAACAAATGTGTCCTTTACCCTGAGTGATTCATGAATCCATAGTGAGCCATACATAATTTTCCTGACAGTGTCCAGTATCTCTTGCTGCATGAGAAGTATGTCTGCATAAAGATCTACACGTCTCTACTCTGCCAACCAGAAGAATCTGAACATGAAGCTAAACAACCAGCAGGAGAGGAACATTCATTGTCCATACCTAAACAACAAATTCTACAAATCCAAATCAAGTCAAAGGTTTATTTTCCTACAAAGTACGCTTTGTCCTTAAAAGACAACAAAAAAAATCTCTAGAGGTGAAACTGACAGATAAGGAGATGAAATTTCACATCACACCACATCACATCAGGTTAGGCTACATCACCCCATTATGACAAAAAAAGAACTGTAGTGATTATCAAGTGAGTAAAAAGATCTAATTCTGCCATTCTATTAAAAACAATATTCAAATCCAAAGTCCACATCACACTTCACATCATCTGTTTAAGAGTTTCCCAAATCAATGATAAAGCCTCAAACTATTTGACACGAAAAGATTCTTTTTTTTTTTTAAAGGAAGAAAACTCTTGAGAAATAAAGAGCTGGTAAAAGATGGAAAACTCTCGTGATGGAAAGTGAGACAGGTAATTAACTGAATTAATCACTGAAGCCAAAGCTGTTGCTTATCAGCTGTTTTTGAGTGAGAGAAGGACCTTGAGGCAAATTCTTTTCAACAATGAGCTCATGTCACTTGAACACTGAGGATTAATAACCTGCTGTCAATGCACACAGTCACAAACTTTACTCTACTATACACATATGTAGAGCCAAGCTTTTCAAAATAAGACAACACATGACAAAGATTCTATTAAAAAAAAAAGATTATTAAATTAATTCCTGAAGGCTAACGACAAAACACCTTATACTTAAAGTAACTTAAAGGAATAATCTTGTATTCTAAAAAACATGAACATCGGCTTTCTGTTTGAGCTGGAAAAGATTAAAAAAAAACCTCAAATGGCAGTAAGACAACAGTGGTAGTAGTCTGCACAAGTACAGCTTAAGCTGAACACATATACAGTAGCTCATAAGGTCAAACTAAACTAATGGATCATACAAGCCTGATGATCTGAAGGTGACCAAATCAACATTTTGACTGATGAGCTGTGTGCCCTTTTTCTACACATCCCTGAGTGTTTATCAACATTCAGCAGCAGCTTAAAACACACAAAAACCACTTCCATAGGAATGCAGTGAGTCGAGTCGGAGCAGAATTAAAGGTGGATCCAGCTGATAAGCTTCAGAGGCTCAGTGATCTCAGAGATTGAATGTGAAATCATATACTCCCAAGACTTCCCATTTTCTTAAAGGATGAGCTTCAATACAAAAATAAGATTGGGGGGGGGGGGGGGACTTTGGGGGCAGAGTTTCACTGAGGTATCTATCATTGTAGATCGTTTGCATCTAATTTGACAAAATAACTGAAGTTAGAATAAATGACTGCTGTGGAGGAAAGTTCACACTGTAATTAGAGCCCATAGAAATACGCTGTGATCACCTGGAGAAACAATGACACACTTGAAAAAATAGGAAGTACCTTGTAGATTGCTGAACTCCAGCTTTAAACCACTGTGTGAATATTTTGCAGCTCTGACGGTCGAGGTACATTCTCTGTGACATTATCTGCATTTTTAAAAGGTGGATGTTTAGTGCACTTGCCCTTTAAGAGAGAGGACACGTAAGGTAACAACAAAAGATTCAGAGCTGGATGAAGAGCCAGAGAGGCATGTGAGAGGAGATACAGGAAGCAGAAGGAGATGTTGATGTTGATGTTTTCTGATTGCAGAGAGAGCAGACTTGGAGGAAGAGGAAGATAAAGAGATAACTATCACAATATTAAGTATAAATGATTACTTGCTTAATACTGTATAAAAAAGAATCATAGACGTATTGTCTCTGATGTAGATTTTGCTCAATAACAGGCCTTCTTCATATAACTGCTATATTTTCTAGGAAATTGCTGTTGTGAAATCAAACTATCCAACTATTAATCACAAACCCAAGCCTCATAAAACCAAAAAAAATCACAACAGACTGTTAATTTCATTTACAGACACTTGAAGGTGAAATAATTTCACCTGCACACACCAAGGTTTAAGAGGCCCAATACTATGTGCATTCAGTTTGGTAAAAATAGTTAATTGCACACTGCCATCTAGTGGTTCAACTAAGGTAAGACCAGGATGCACTAAAAATGTTCTTATTTGGTTATGCTGATCTGCAGATGTAACCTTACCATGTGATCTCAGCCTCACCACACATGGTAACTATTAGCACACAGTTTGGGCTGTGCAGACATGAATTCAGCCTTACTGAAGGATCTATGTTTCATATTCTAGGGCAGGGTGGCTGCAGGATTTACAGCAGCAGGACAACATGTATTATATGTGATCTGCTGTCAATCACACAAATAGTGATCTATATTTAACTGGTCATTTACTCAATTATATTTTTTTGATTTCATCCAAAGGGGCGTTTTATTTCAAATCGGTTAAACGTTTACATTGTTGCTGACAGTTTATAAGATCATTTTCCTCCACAGCCCAGCAGAGGACAAATAAAACAAACCCTGTTGTTCAAAACCCCTCATGTTGTAACTCAGGCCGCTGCTATTTGACCTCTTTCCTCTCAAAGCCTGTGCAGCAAGCCGGCACTGTTTTGATTGGCTGTGGTCTTGATCTCTTGGCCTCTGCATTAGTAAAGTCTCCAACATCCACTTACTGCGCGGCCAGATGGTGAGAGTGTGTGACCGAAGCAGCCAGAAGGGGAAAGTACATCAGTTATCTTGCTTGGAGCCTGTTTGTTGACTGACTGACATCGTGTGCTTCCACTTTGAGGAAAACACTCACACAGTAGGAATTTTAGAAATGTTTAATTGTTGAACTGGTGCTATCGAGTCCTTGTGCAGTTGTCTTTGAGCAGAGCGGCTGTGGATCAGTGGTAGAGTAGGACGCCTTAAAACTAGAAAGGTTCGATCCCCGGCTCCTGCAGCTCCACATCTGGAAATGTGCTGGGGCAAGACACTGAACCCCAAATTGCGCCCGCTTCTGCCTCAGTGGAGTGCCAACGTGTATGAATTGGATAGTTAATACTGATGGAAACTTTACATAGCAGCCTTTGGCACCTCAGTGTGAATGTGAGATTGTGACATGCGCTGTGAAAAGCTTACAGTCATACAATGATATCATTATATCATAACTATGTTTTAATATTTACAAACCTAATCTTAATTTTTCAGCGCGTTGCTGCACCAGTCAAAGCTGAACTATTGCATCATGACATAACATAAAGACTTTATATATATCTATATAAATGTCATCTAAACAGTATGAGAGTGCAGTGTTTGGCTACAATGTTAGTGTGTATGTTTTTAAGGGTGTATGTATGAATGTGTTTTGTTTTTTCAGTTTTGAGAAAGAGGGCGTGACTTCCTTCTTTGTTCTAGATACACATTAAAATGATGGATGAAATCCATATAAAACAACAAAAATATAATAAAACAGAGAGAAGTAAAATACTAGTTACAGGTAACTGGGACAGAGACAGTTTGTTTGAGGTGATCTAAGGGGTGAAGTTTCATTTTTCGGGTGTAATGGAGTTAATCTACTAAATCTGTATCACAGTACTTTTTGTGACAACCATCTACTTTTCATTTTCCCTACTTACCATGTCTTTGAAAGCATTCTCGATGGCCCCGATCACCAGGCTCTCGTGCGAAACCTTCTTCTCGGTGAAGAAGCGCGTTGGCGGAGTGCTGGGCGAGCCTGGAGCCCCCGCGGCGCCACGGAGCGAGGCGGCCCTGGTGAGTGCGCGCTGGGACGTCGGGGTGAGGAGGTGATTGATGGGCTCCTCCCCAGACAGGTGGGGGGCTGCAGGTTGGGAGTGCAGAGGATCTCCAACACCTCCTGAAGGTGCAGGGCGATGTGGTGATGCAGAAGGCGGGAAGCCACGACGGCCACGCCAGAGCCTGCGTGGCCATCGAACAGCGCCCAGTAGTGGAACGTTAGGTTCTCAGAGCAGTCCTGGACACATGGAAACACATCGCATTAACAAAGTTTGTCAGTGTTTGCACCTGCAGGATACAGCATGGAAGGGTAGCAAGAAATTATACACTGATCGACCAATGAGGGACTACAATTATTTCTATGGTTTCTATGGTTACATAAACTAAATAAATATGGTTATAGGCCTTACTAGGAGGAGGCTGAGGGACAGTGTGGCTGAGCACAGGTATGCCATTGGGACTGCTCATCGGAATTATCCTCTGCCAAAAATGAGGTAGAAGCACAACATGGAAGTGATGCAGCTTTAAAATATCAGCTATTGAAGTCATCAGCTCTGACGTCAGGGGTGGAGATGAAAGAAAACACCTCAAACAAAGAGAGTCGTATTGGAATCATCCCCTTAACACTAGAACGACCGGCATTCTATCATTACTAGAAAGGCCATAGCAGTCATTTTGACTGTTTACGAATTTTTTGCATATCATTTCAATAATCAATATCAAATATAAGAATAAATGGATCTGTAATGTTGTGAAAGGTATAATAAACTTCAGGACACAAACATTAAATTCTAATGAATTTGAAATTTTAATAGTTTATCGACAACCACGGGAACAGCAGCCGGCGTTTTTTGCGAATGGGAATGATCTCTGTATCATTCTCAGGTTCAATCTCAGAGCCAGTGTCAGATGAAGTTTCGAGAGACCAGGAGACATCGCTTTCCGTATCCGAACCTGCGCCTCCATCACACTCTGCCTCATCAAGGCTCTGGAGCCTCTGTGGCAGCAATCCTCCTCCTTCCTGACATTTTGTTCTATTCTGTTCTAAATCAGATCCTAATTTACTCTATTCTGCCTTTTCAATGTTGATTAATTCAAATGTATGTCTCCTATTCTTTCTATATGGTTTTAGGCGGGTAAGCTTTCTTTCCTCCTTGGCTCGAGCGTTATAAACAATAGTTGCTAGGCAACAGCGATGCGCACCTTCAAGTAGTGGTGGGCGATATAACGATCTTAGATCGTGAAGGATTTTAACTTGCTGACGATCTGCCAAAGCAGAGAGATCGTAGAACTGGGCTAATGTGTTTATTCTATCATGCTGCAGTTTATGCTCTTACACAGATGCGTCTCCCCCCGTCCTTTTTTGCTCCGCAGTGGTGAAAACGAAACTTAAAAGTAAAGTCCGCAAAAACAACTCCATCTCGGAAACCGACACGCTGTGAGCAACAGTTAACTTATCTGCATAGTGTGCACAGTTAAGATTAGTCTACATCTCAGATAGCGACACAGAGAGACGTTAACAGTCAGAGACAGACAGGAAGGAGCTCAGACAGACAGTGAGGGGAGATATAACCCCGGTGTTTAAAATGTTGCTGTCTGTGTTTTCTGATCTCTCTCGGTTTTTCAAAGTTACTGTCATCCTCTCCACCCGAAACTCACCTGTTGTGAATACTGAATTTATAGGGATTAGGCTAAACAATGTTACAAAGCAGCAGGCAGGTGAGAGTGAGTAACCATGGTGACTGTCTGTCTGTCAATCAACAATGTCCCGCCCCCTCTGTGAATTAAACTCTTCTGTCAATAAAACTTACTTTGAACCCATTCTGTATTATGTTTTATTATGTATAAACTAAACTAAAGTTAGTCCAATGATGTCAAAAAAAAAAAAAACAAAGGCTGCAGAGCCTGTATGAAGCTACAGCTGTAGGAACTCTGCAGGGCTAAAATAGAACAGAAACACAAGAACTTGAAGTGTACATGTTTTTAAATGAATGCATCACTGCGTGAAAATGTTCCTGATGAACATAAAAAGAGGACACATAACTAAATCATAATTTTCCGTAGGTGTGAAAACCTTCTAATTGTGCATAAATATCGATCAAATCGAGGGAAAAGACATTTCTGGCGCTAAAGATGTTCTGGGTGAGACCTCCAGACCTCCTACAAAGATGTTTTTCAAATAGATTAAACTTGTCTGCGCAGTTTTTGTGCATTTAAAAACATTATACAGGGAAATCAGTTTGGTTGAACTGGTCAGCAACTTACAAATTTGTCTAAACAGTATGAAAAACATCGTGATAAAATCGTGATCGTGCCAAAAAAAAATCGTGATATGATATTTTTCCCATATCGCCCACCTCTACCTTCAAGAGCGGGAAAAAGTAGCGAATACTGAAATGATATGGACTTTCAAGGTAGAAATACTCAAAACTATTTTATGTTTTGTGTTTTTGATAAAATAACAATGCTAGAATAAAATATAGACACATTTAGGAAAAGTCATGGTCCTGTAGTTACATAGGTTTTATTTTAAGTAAGTTATTACATTGCAAAATTAAAAAACAGTCAAAATGACTGCCTTGGTCTTTCTAGTGTTAAAGGCAACACCCACATTGCCCAATGAGGACTCTGACTCTTCCATTTTGTAGTCTTCAATAATCATTGGTTTTCTTTCCTCTGTTTTTTTGGGGATTATCTTTGTATGATGTAATTTATTCAATATATAAATACATGTATTTAATATATAAACAGTTAGTATACAGGTATTATTTGCTGTTTTTCTGTTCATATTGATATCATGATTCACTTGAATGCATTATTTTATTGTGAGGTTTGCTTTTTTGACTTGAATCTGATCTTTTTCTTATGTAATGCCCCTAGAGGCAAGAAAAACAACGTTGCATGCCTTCACCTGTGCACACAGTGTGGTGACTGGCTGCAGCAATAATGACTCCCTTTGTCTCAGTGTGTCACTACACCCTGAAGAAAGGGCAAGCCGATACGTGTTGGTGTATCTTAAATGTTTCTAGCCCTTTGAATTGAAAGGCCTTTTATACTTTCCAAACCATCCTGAGGGTCTGGACCTGGATCATTTATACCAGTGTTGTTATTGTTTCAATAGTGCGCTAACTGAGAATACAAGCCATCACCAAACTTAATCAGGTCACATGCAGTCCACAGTACACAGATATTGTCTATGTGGTCACCTAAAAATGTGCTGTTGTGTGCTCAATTATTTTATCAATCTGAAATTTGGTTACTGTATCATCAAACATATGGCTTTCTTCAACATAAGAGGTATCTTCTTAAGTCCAAATACATGCTTGTTAGGTCAGTTGGTGACCCGTAGGTGTGAATGTGAGTGTGGCTGGTTGTCTGTCTCTATATGTCAGCCCTGTGATTGACTTGCAAACAGTCCATGGTGTACCCCGTCTGTCACCCAATAACAGCTGGGATCGGCTCCAGCCCCCCTGAGACCACAAACTGGAAAAGCAGTATAGATAATGGATGGATAAATAATACTTTATGTTCTTCTTCTCTTTAGTTGATATGGTTAATATGTCAAACTAAACGTTGCATTGATGTACTTTTTCTCCCCTACCGTACGTTACATAAAAAAAGATGGCTGACTTTCTGTGCAGTGGCAGCATTTGTTCTAAATGTTTCTGGTCACTGAGTGTACATCATTTGCTAACACGTATTTATCTCTACACACACTATAGGTCTGGATTTCTAAAAATATAGTCCAGGTGGATTTCTACAACAGGAGCCTATGAAGCAAACTAAGAACACTAGACAGGCTTCAGCACTACTCTCATTGGTTTGGTATCACTGCAGCAGTGAGTCATGAGGTACTTGCTTGAGTTTGCTGTAGGCTCTGGGTGGACCTGAGCAAAGTACTGGTGGGCTGAGAGGAAATTGTAGAAGCAGCATTACTCAAAATAGATACATATTGCCTTTGGAGATTAAATAAAATGAGTGAGTTCTATCTGGAGATGCAGAGAGCAGAGAGTGCATGTCCAATCAGAAAGGACAAAGTGAAACACAGGAGATAGACATTACTGTTTCTGGGATAAATCATTTTCCAGCCTGTAGATAAAGAAGTATATAGCTTTAATTTTAAAAAGATGGTCAAATATACCAAGAGGAAGCAAATACTGTAGGGTAGTTTTTCATACACCACACTGTGTACTTGTGGAAGGACAGTAGGTCGATATGGGTCCTCCAAAGAGATATTTTTGAATTGTCATTTAATAATAAAATAAACCTTATCTGCTGCCTCCGAAGTCAACTCTTCAAAAACTAAAATCACTATCAGTCTTTAAAATCACTGATCGGTCAGGCTCCCCTTGTGCGTCTCAGTGAACCGACGCTTATTCGCCTGCCTGTTTTAGTGGCTGTCAGGAGCTGTTGAAGGCCGCAGTGGTGTGTAAAGGACGCTGAGTTGCACGCCCCAGTAAACTGCTGATGGGACGGGAAGAGGAGACGGCAGGTCCCACCAGCAAGTCAACTGAGACACTACAGTCTCTCTGATCATTTCATGGATCTCATCAGTGAATAAACATCTCAGTGTAGAAGCTGCGGGGGCAATTTGATTTACAGTCGTTGGACTGAAATTTGACATCCAGATGAAATTACTCTAATAATTGTATTAACTTTTTTTCCTGGTAATCAAACTTGACTTTTGCATTTTTTGCAATGAGTCTTTTTTTATATGAATTTCCACTTCACCTCACAATCTAGAGTGTTTCTTACTTTTATATACCCAGAAATCATATGATCAGGAACATAAATGAATTTGAAAGATGTCATGCTAGTAGCTAATATTGAAAAAAAAGAAGGATATCTATTTAAGGAAACAGAAGTTTAAGTTTGACCCACCTGGTAGTCTCTGATGTTCAGACCGTCTCCGTTAGGCAGGGAAGACCTCCTGCGGTCCGTGGGGGTCCGGTTGGGTGTGGAGTTTCCTGCAGGTCTCCTTTTGACCACCAGCACCTCACAGCAGGCCTGGTCCTCGTTTAATGTACTCTTTCCTGCATTAATCACCCTGAAACAAAGGGGAGATAACAGAGAGACAAACGGGGATGAAACCTGTGCTTCACTTTAACTATGACATCATCTTTCATCTAAGATTAAAAAAATTATATTTTCAGCAACTTGGACAACGTTTTGTTTATACATGTTTCCTTCACAAAGGGGATCGTGTACCTTATCTATAAAATATCAGGTTAAATACAATATAAAAAAACCCACGTGCACACACAAATACACACAAACACACAACAAAGCCTGAAGGATCTGAGGGGGGAAACTATTTTGAAGACATCGTCTGTCATCTTAACTCACATCATTTCAATCACTCCGGTCTTTGAACACAAACGCAGTTGAGCAGCAGCAGCTGTGTCTTTGATTTAACCTTTCAGAAGGTGATTCATGACTCTGCATTCATCGCAACAAAGAAAGGGAAAATTACTTGGAACATTGATGGTGAAAGATCATACACAGCTGCAGGTTTGAGGGAGTTTCAATATCTTCTTTAACATTTCAGCTGTAGCTGTGGCCTTTAATCCACACGACATTCTCCGCACTAAAATGTCTCACCAAACTCCATTTCTGCCCCTTCATGAGAGCATTTCTTTCCACGACTGAGTGAGGCAATGTAGGATAAGGTCGGCACGTACACAATCTTTAAGTACACGTTTCGATTTGAGACGAGGCATGAAGGGCAAAGGGCAGAAAGAAACATAAATACTGCATTATACAACACCTGGCAGATGGTGCACTACTGCTCCTACTGCTGTGAGCTGCTGCTGGAGTCATAGACGACCAGACGCTGTTTTACAAAACTACAAGTATTCTCCATTTGGACAGACTGTAAGGGATGTTAGGTCAGTGTTTTCAAGTCCCTACTTAAACGTACTTTTATAAGACAGCTTTTCCTGATCCTTTTCATTATATTTTATATCCTTTATGAATTTATGAACCTGATGAATCCTGTTGTGAAGCATTTTTGGTTCTTGCATTATTGGAAGTGCCCAATGAATGAAGCTTATTACCATTTTGATTAAGTTACCAGTTTAGTGGAAAGTGTTCGTTGCAGAAATCTCCCAGCATGCACGCCTGTTCTGTTGACAGCAGACCATAACCCACAGTAAGTGTCTTTACGCTTTCTCTAAAGCTATTGTAGGAGCCAATCTACTCTGTGTGTGTAATAATGTATTGTATTTGAATGGGTTTGGTTTATATGCTTAATTCTTTACTTAATTTGGACACTAGGTGGGGATAATTGATAATGTGGGTTAACTGAGGTGGAACAGGAAATGGTGGCATAGGTGGTGGGAACAAACGATTCTTAACGTAACACAGGGTAATGTAACATAACGTAAATCAACGACAACAAACACTTACAATCTCAGCAATAAGAAGTCATCAAATCATCATCACGGTTTGTCTACTTCATTTTTACAATAAATGGGAACTTCACAAAGTCATTTCATTTTGGACATGTTTATTTTGTACGCGTCGAGACCTTTCCAGAATAGTTCTCATCATATAAAATAATTGAGACCATATATGTCTCCATGTTGATCATTAGAGGCAGTTGAGATCACTTCCCTGTGGAGGATCCGGTTTCATTCATCCTAATTGGACATGAGGATGAACATGCAGAGCAGGGATCTGCTGTCTCCAGCTAAGTAAACACAGGCGGCTGTAAAACTGACAGGATATTAATCTGAGCAGACCCTCTCTAAGAAAGGTTGATTCGAATTGGGGTCTTACACAATGGGCTTTTTTACCACTTCCCTATCATAAAAATTAAAAATAGCACACTCCCTGTAGTGTGTCAATGAGAGAGGTTTAAAGGAAACACTCCCTGCCTGCACACAGTGCACAGGGACTCTGCACTATTATTATCTTTGTGTTTTACCTTCACAAGTAAAGAGCTCAGAGAGGCACTAACTTTGTAATATTATAGTTTATAAACTCAATTAACTGCTTACACTAGAGAAAGCACAACACTGACAATGTCAATAATAAAAGAGGTACTTCTTTTTTGCAGTTTTTCTTGTTTTATATAAATGATAAATTATAGCATCTTTGGATTCTGGATTCTGGATTCTGGACTGGACAGCACACTGTGGTCTCAGAATTTGTGACATTATATAACATTTAAAAATCAATCAGTCAATCGATTTATTATGTAACTACTTTGTTAGCTGGACCCCTTTCACTAACGCCTCACCAAGCTCACTCATCTCTGTCAAGAACAACATGACATACAGTTCAAGCTCTGACAAAAAGAAGTGGAACCTTTTTTTATTTATGTTGTTTATTTTGACAACAGCTGCACCAGAGTTAGCTATGAGCTAAATGTAGTCCCGTCCAGCAGGAGACAAGAGACCTCTGTTGAGTAATAAAACATAAAAACGTCTACACAACAATACACAACCACTTTAATACAACATTCAATTCACGCACAGTGAAATTCACAAATGACACTAAAACAATATGGGGCTACTGGCTAAGAGGACAACACTTTAAAACCACTACACACCATGACCACGACAGAGCGACTTCAAGTTCCACCACAATGGAACAAATGATACACTATTAATCCATGAAAAAGATGAGTAAGCTTCACTACAACAACAGCTGAACCACAACAACAGATATCTCCAAAGCAACACATCAATACACATCAGCTAAAATCTTTCTACAGCACTATTATTTTATAGGAATGAACTTTCATACTTATAGTAAAGTGATGTTTTATAACTATGTAGGGCTGGTCGTGTACTACTGGTTGCCTGAATCAATTCCATTCTGATTCAGAGGATCCCAATTTGATTCAATTCCCGATTTGATTGGATTCAATATCATTTCATTTAAGGATATTTAAGATAAGATAATCATTTATTGATCTCCAGAAGGGGAATTCAAGTGTTGAAGCAGTAAAAAGACTAGAAGAAGAGCATGCATATTTTGTATTATATGCCTATTGTTCCATCTTTTCAGTTTTTGCATCGAGGTATGGGGCAACACGTTTACGACTAATACTGAACATTTGCATGTGTTACAGAAAAGAGCGATCAGACTAATAACGTGTACATAAGTTGTAAAGTGACCATGTACATATTGGTCAAGTCACATTTTTCAAGAACCAGCAAAGTAAAGTCTTCTTTTTGAACTTGGTCAATGAAATGATGGTACAAAAGAAGGCAGAGAGTATTAGGGATTATGTCATTGCAGTTGTTGTGTCTTTATTCCCTTTCCCTAACTTGTCATGAAGAATGAAGACCACAAACTTCATGCACCATCATGCCTGTCTGAGCAACGTTCACTGGAATCCTTAAGATCACACGATTGACAACAGTAGAGCTTTCAAGGCCTTTCATCTCCGATACAAGGAGAGAAACCCTAACCCCCCCCCCCCCAAAGGCATGAGCAGTGTCTTGAGAGCAGGGCTGTCGGATTCTCTTACCCTGTTTCACTTCTTCACATTTGAGACAATGGTGTGACCTTAATTACCCCGTCAGAGTTGGAACCGACAGTCCAGCTCCTCTAGGAAAGGGTTAGTGTTTCAAGTTTTTTGCTTGAATGGTCCAATCAGACACCAGCAGGTCACATTCAGAAGGTTAAAGGCTTTATATGCAATTTTTTGATCCAGCAGATGTCGCCCTTGAGCACCAGCATGAAACCAAAACAACTTGCGGTGCATTGTGTGTTAGCATGCTAATGCTAGCGATCTTTATTATGCTCGTATCTTCACACAGCATGTAAATTTACCCGAAATTAGCGTGATCTAGAAACACAGTTAAACAGTGAGTACAGTATGTTATTCTTCTTTTCTCTAGTCCCTCAATTAAACAACTTTTATTCGCGAGGGGAGGAGTCAGCCGGCCGTCCTGGCGATATAAACAAACTGCAGATATGACTCTGAAAACTCGGAAAACATCACAGACAGTGAGACTCGTGTGTTACACCCATTGTAGACAGTCATCACTCAGAGTTATTTTCAGAGGATATACTTGATTTCTATTATATCTAAGTGTGAAAAATTGCATATAAAGCCTTTAAGATATTAAATATTAGATTAGGAAGAAACTTTCCTACTTCTTTCGATGGTAGATAATAAAAATGCAGAACAAAAACTGTGAAAAACAAAAAGTTAACTAAACGTTTGGTTGTTTTAAAAAAACTATGAGACAGCAATTTTGATATTAAAGAAAAAAAAAGTCATTTATCCGGACTGAAAACTGTTTACATGTTATTGAAATATGCAAGTTCGCTGCACTTTTCTTTCTTTCTTTTAACTTATCTGTAATTTTACTAGCTCTCACTTTTGGATGGAAAAAAACAACAACTTGTATTTGGCCTTTTTTTTTTTTTACATTCTTTATTAATTGCTACTCCGGGAGCACGCCAGAGCTGTTGGGTGTTCGGTGCCTTGCTCAAGGGTATCTCAGCAGTACTTGGAAAGTGACCTCTCCAGCAACCATACCAACTTCCATACTGTAGGGACTTAGATTAGGAACTGGAGGTTCCTAACCTAAGTCCCTACAGTATGGAAGTCCCTACAGACTGAATATGCTGCCCCAAAAATATCTTTTTGGCTTTTTTAAATATATTTCACAACAATTCATAAACTCAACAGCAATTTTTTTTGCAAATATAACAGAGTAATTTCTTATATAATTCAACATGACTTCTATTTGGTTTCATGCTCCTTTATGTTGCCGCATCAGAGTTTCCGTTGTAAAGTTTATCTAAGGTGTGATCGCTGCAGTGTGAAGCACATGATGTAGCAGCGGGGGCTCATGGTGATGCTACACATGAAGCTTGCACTTTAACACAACGCGTCCCTCTGAGGCAGAAACAACATAAATCGTTTCAGTTATGTAGCAGAAAAAAACACAAGAACATGTGCTGCATCATGTGATGGATAAGAGCACTGGGAGGCGTTGTTTGTGGATAGTTCAGCTCATGAACATCCTCTCTACAGCCGAGTCTGACACTACTTTGATTTTACTGCTAGACAGTAAAAAA